TTTCTTCAGTTTTGTACATTTTTTTGGGGTAACAGAAGTTGATGAGGCCAAGATTACACATCCTAAGGTTGTTTGCCAAAGTACAGACTTAAAATCTGTAAAAGCAATTTAATAAATCTATACCATAATTAGACCCCATTCCATTTGACCAGAAATCACACTGTAATTGTGGTAGCAAAAACTTTTCTAATGGAGGACTAAAACACCATCACCAATTCTACAACTCTACTCAACAAAGCCTTGTTCCAACCATGTACATCACATCTGAACTGAACGGCAAAAGATTAACTCACTCCAAAAGTCAAACAAGAAAAAGGCCAAAGTATGACATTCAAACAAAGTAAACACACAACATAAGAATAAATAACAGTCACTTGAAAACTTTAAGTTAGACATCTCATTTTACCTTTTTTTTTCCCGATTGGCCATAGCTAATAAAACTAACGACTCAACTCAACAACATCTTGTCTCATCTATTAGGTTAGGCCACATTAATCTTGTTTTGCCATTTTAAATCGAAAGGCAAAAGATTATCCTTTAGAACCATCATGAAAATACTTTGTTAATTGTTTCCTATAAGGGTTGACGCATTTTTCATTAATGTCTCATCTCGTAAGAGAAAAGTCCATATGGATAATCGGCTGATTTAATGCGGCGAATGATTGGAAATGCTATTCCTTAAGTCAATCCCGTGCCATAGATCCATTTTCCCTCGAAGAAAACAAGTTATTGCATTTGAACCCTCACTTGCTAGGTAAATACATTTTCTAATTCAAGAATGAGCCATTGGCAATTATGAGTCTACTTCATATCAAATAAGTGACGGGGCATCCCTTATCATCAGGCCTTTCAACTGATTAGCAAATCAAACCAAACTTAGCCATGTTTTGACCTGACCGACCCCTTCCTATTTAGACTTTCTCATCGGGTTTGCCGGCAGAGACTGGTTATCCTCAGGATTGATTTGACATACGCATAATATATATATATATATATATATATATATATATATATATAAAACATATATACATCTAAACAAAATACATATACACATATAGGAGTGCAAATAAATTGGGTACTTCTACTTTCTTAAACCTAATCTATCAATCATTTCATCTCAATACGTTCAACACATGAATTTAAGGCAATTTATAAACGAAAGACCATCGAAAAGGAATAGAAATACACATAGAAACAATAACATCAATATATGTGTGTATATATATATATATACATGAAGTAAAGTTTGATTGCAAGAAAATTCACCCAGTACTATTTCTGAATGCAAATTCAGTCAAAGCGCCTTTTGGGATTATTTAAGTTGCGGCTTCAGTTCTACTGGGTTATGATAGTAGACTTATCACATGTGCGTGCGCGTTTGTGTGTGTGTGTAAATACACACACGTTCTTATAGCTGATAATTGATGATTGTGCACAAGTACAACAATAGTTGAGTTTTTTTGGTTTAGAAATGCAAGTAAGGTTTTACTTAAAACCTAATCCCAAGCAAGCGGAAGGAACCAAGATGGGCTTGGGTTTGGACTGGGTTAAGTCCACGTGAATCATGTGATCTAGACACTTTGATAAAGGAGGAATGGCTGCAACGAGCCGAGCCGAGCCGAGTATTGAGGTGCTCAGACTCGGCTTGTCACATTTTGCAGAGGTGCTGCCCTTATTGTATAAATTGTCGGTCGCTTGGGATTTTGGTTTGCCCCAGAATGGAGAGAAGAAGAATATTGGTTAGGGTTTAGAAGCGGTGGCAGGAAATGGGCTTGGGAATTAATTAATGGATTGGGCTACTTTTATTTTTAACATAAAAAATTATATAAAATTGTTGGGCTGAGTTGCTGGGCTAGTTTTATTTTCAAAAGAGAAATAATATAATGAATGGGTTGATTTGGATTATTGGGCTTTGGTTTAAAATAAATTCAAATGATGAAAATACTTATTTATATAACATAAAAATATAAGAAATTATATATAACTCAAAACGAGCCTGGACTCGAGTTTGTTCATGAACATGTTTATGAACAAACGAACTGAGCAGAGTGATATTTGAGCTTAGCTCGTTTAGTAATCAAGCTCAATAATTCTGTTTGAGCTCTGTTCATTCAATAAATAAATAAACGCGAACGGAGCTTAACTCGAGCCGAGCCCAAATAGTTCACAAACCCTAGGGAGGATTTAATTTTTTGTGAAAAGGCTCTAACAAAATAACAAGTAAAGGCCAACTAATCAAATTAAGCTGTATTCGATTACTAATTTAAATAAAATTTATGAAACTTTATAAGTGAATTTTTAGTTGAAAGCCCTTTTTCCCAAAAATAAAAATAAAAATAATGGGGACCTTTTTTTAATCTAATTAGCCAAAAAAATTCCAAGTTTGGATTAATTATGTGCTTTCATATAGGAGATGGTTAGTAATTCATTTCCTCCAACAAAAAAAATATATATGTAATTCATTTCCAACTTCCAAATGAAGAAATGAAATTATGTTAGTGAAAGAAAAAATCTTAAGAAACGTAGATTCACAAGCAATTTAAAAATTTTAATTTAGGGCTATTTTCATAATCATCCAAATCTTTAACTAGATATGTCTATTATGTATATATCAACTCCCCAACCACAATTTAAGTGACCTAAATGTCCGTTTGCATAGTAAAATTTTGAATTCCTTAGCAAGAATGTGGACGTGCCGGTAGGGGTGCAACTTGGGCGGGTTAGCCTAGTCCAACTCGATTTCAGCCCATAAATTTTAAAATCTGAACATATAAATTTACAATTCGGGTTTAAGTCGGATTGGGTTTTATCAAAACCCAACCTTATTCGGTTTGAGCTGGGTTCAACCCAAACCTAACCCAAAAGTCCAAATTAAACATAAATCCCTTCTCTTCTCTATCTATATCGACTTCAGGTTTGGACATTGCTTGATAAACACAAACCCTAACTTTCTCTCTCCTCATCCTTCTCTTCTCTCTCTATATCGCCTTCCTATCGATCTTCCGTGAAAGTCGAAACAAGCAGCGAAGCTTGCAACCTACCGGCAACTCCCTCTATCTCACATCTCTCAACGACTCCCTCACCTTTATCTCACATCTCTCGGAGACTCCCGCGAAAGTCGAAACGCCGCTCTCGCCACCATAGAACAGGTTTTCTTTAAATTCACATTATTTCCCTATCTGGGTCTTTGATTCTCAATGCAATTATCATTTCACACATATATGTTGTTCAATTTATGTGGATCTTTGAATTTTGATCACATTTTTGGGTTCATCCTCTGCCTTAGTGGATACCAAGCAATTAAGTACTCCAATTTTGAACACGCTCACACTTCAGCAACACTTTTCTTTTCCCATTTATCAATTCTTGTGGGCTCTCATCTGCGTATATGGGGAATTAATTATTTTTTCTTTGAGCTTTTAATCTATTTTCAAATTGTTCTGTCTATCACTTTACTTTCAGTTAGTGGCTTATTATTCCTTCTTTTATTTAGCTTTCAATCAATTTTCAATTGCTTCTGTCGGCAACTTTAACTTTGACTGGGTGGGGCAAATTATTTCTCTTTTAACATTCAATTTTACTCGAGGGAATTGAATTTTCGAACTTCTCAATCCTTCAATTTTTCAAGGGCTTATTCTACAACTGCACAAAATTGAGCATCTCTTGAAAGGAAATGGCAGAAGCACTTCTGATTGAAATTGAAAAGAAAACATTGAAACTTACACTCTTTGTTGCATCAGTCAAAACATATCGAACTTAATGGCACAAAAATAATCTTTGTTGCATCAGTCAAAACATTTTTGTGACAAGGTGGGGCAAATTATTTTTTTATATCCTAAATGTCCTTGAGATATTATTTAAAATTACAAAATAATTAACTATTGAAATCTGCAAACTTGGAACATCAAAAATTATTAATCCCTAAACCTTTTAGTCCTCAATTAAATAAAAAGAAAAGAAAAACCGAACTCCCAAAAAATAAGCCTAACATATTTTTTTAATCATAATTTTTCTATTATTCCAAAACCTTAACAAAAAGGGAAGAACTATACAACCCAACTCTAATTTATTAACCATGAAAAAAAATATTTGATGGTCTGGATTTGAAGATATAATCTTCTTAGTTACTTAATGGCACAAAAAGTTTCTTAGTAGTATAACAAGTTTTACATGCTTTTTACATGTTCCTACTGGATTGATGTTTGTTTAAAAAAGCATTGAAACTTACACTCTTTGTTGCATTAGTCAAAACATATCGAACTTTTGAAAATTTGTAAGTTTCATTCCATTTTTTCTTTGATACCACCATTATTGATGTTATTTGAAAAAATGGAGAGAGAGAGAGAGCGCCGCGCCGGGGGGGGGGGGGGGGGGGGGGCTTACGTTGTAGTTTGCAGTTGCAGAGAGAAATTCCCATAGAATAGTCATTAATATATGACTTTTGAACTTCTGATACTTCTAATTCTTGTTGATTTTGTAGTTTGCAATTGGAGGGGGGGGGGGGGGGGGGGGGTTCTTTAGTTACTAAAAAAAATCAAATATATATATTTAAAAAAAAAAGGGGGGGAGGGGAAGTTTGCAGTTAAAACATATTTTGTTTTTTTTTTTTGTTTAGTTACTAAAAAAATCAAATATATATATTTAAAAAAAAAAAAAACTCGACCTGACCGAAAATATTTGGTTCGGGTTATAACCCCACCCATGGTGAGTGCAATTCGAATTGGCCTAACCCGACCCGATTTCAGGTTGAGGTTGGGTTGGGATTGAGCTGGGTTGGGTCAGCCCAAGTTGTACCCCTACTCGGCTCATTGCAGTCATTCCTCCCTTATCAAAGTGTCTAGATCACATGATTCATGTAAATTTAACCCGGTCCAAACCCGAGCCCGTCTTGGTTCCTTCCGCTTACCTGGGATTAGGTTTTAAGTAAAACCTTACCTGCATTTGTGAATCAAATAAACTTGTGCAGAATCATCAATTATCAACTATAAGTACGTGTGTATTCACACGCACACACAAACGCACACGCACATGTCATAAGTCTACTGTCGTAACCCAGTATTAAGTTAGGGCAAGTTTCAGACGACACAATCTGCTTCGACACTCCGCAGGACGCAGCCTCCGCTGTCGGCTCAGGTGACAAGGTATGTTCATCCTCTTTCTCTCTTCTCTCTCCTTTTGCATGAATCGATCTTTTATACATGTTTCTTTCTTTTGTTCATCTCATCATTTGATTTGTTCTAACTTTGGACCTTTGGTTCGTTTGATTAGGGCCTTTACCTTTGTTCCAATAGTGAAAAGTAGCTTCCAAACTAGGGTTTTTTGTGTGTGTGTCACTGTGTGTGATGGCTATCAAAAGATGAATGAATATATTATGGTTCTCTGAGTATTTTAATAAATGTGTGCCTTTCTACATGTGTTCATGGCGATCGAGTCCATAATCTATGGCAGACACTTTTTTTTTTTTTTTACCTCTCCCTCATTCCACTCAAATCTCACAACAGCAGCAATCATACCCCTTTTCCTCATAAGTTTTTGCATTTTCACATTCAATCCTACGAAAATTAAGGATCCCTTCTGGGTTGAGCCGTTGAGGTAATAATTAACTTTTTCGATCTCTAAATTATGCTCATACTTAAAAGTGCCAAATTAAGGGTTTTTTTTTATATTTTATTTTTATATGCAGATACATACCACCATTATTGATGTTATTTGAAGTTGGCTCAGCTAGAATTTCAGTTAATAATACTGTCAAAGCACTTGCCATCAATGTACAAACACATGGAAATCAAGAGCAGGCTTTAATAAAACAAAAGTTAATGGTTTTTTCTATTAATTTGCACAGGTCTTCTGTAGAAAGATCAATCAATCACTGCTACTAAAGTTGATTCCTCATCCTGAAATCAAGAAAGGGGTAGTTGGCTCCCAATAAAAACACACACAAAGTGTAGTTAATATAAAGAGTGAAAGACAAAACTATAAATGATAGTGGATGCCACATATAACCTAAAAGTCCCACTACTTCTTCAACACTAAAAGTTCAGCCTCCTATATATATATAGTCACCTCATCTCCACATATTTTTGTCATCTGTAATCATCAAATTTTAGCAGCTATATAAACAATGAATGTAAAAAAGAAGCTGCAGTTTTCTGTTCCTCATTTCCACTTTTGGACTGTATTTTGGATACTCTGTTTTGTCTTCTCTCCTCTCCTCCAGATTCCACTGAAAACTCCAGCCAGGAGATCATTCGACCAAACTGCTTGATTTTAGATTTTTTTTTAGTTATATTTATTGTATGATCGGCAATGCATAGTTATTATTGTTTCAGTTTGATTCTCCATCCATTATATGTTAATTGTGATCTTCTTTCACATGCTAGCAGGACACTCTTCTTAGGATCTCGTGAGGTTATTTGCCTTGAACTTGAATCAAATCAATTGTGTATTGAGGTAATATATATTTTCTTTAAACAAAGCAAATTATTATTATTATTTTTTTGAAGTCTAGTTTTATGTTGATTATGGTTCCTGTTATTTAGATTTCAAGAGATTTCATTATGTCTACAAGAAAATTTGAATCTGGGCATGAAAAAAAAAAAAAAAAAAAGAGAGAGAGAAGAAGAATTGATTCAATCTCAAAAAGGAGATAATCTTAAGTTTTTTACGAGCAATACACAAATAGAGAGTTTAGTTGAAGATTTGGTGAATGAAAAACATATGAATACGAAAGCAAATGAAGAAAATCTCAATAAACATGAAGATTTAATGAATGAAGATCATAGGAAGTTAGTCAATGAACATGAAGATTTAATGAATGAAGGTTATAGTTATTAGTTAGTTGTCTTATGCACAATACACATGCGCACAATTAAATTAGCTATAGAATTAGAAAACATCGTGTGAAAATTCCGCATTCTTATAATTTTTTTTGCGCATGTGAAACTTAAGGGCCTCACATTTGAAAGTTTGCCTAGGGCCTCTCAAAATATTTGGAATCTCAGGGCTGGCCCTGGTTGGAACAAGGCTTTGTTGAGTAGAGTTGTAGAATTGGTGATGGTGTTTTAGTCCTCTATTAGAAAAGTTTCTGCTGCCACAATTACAGTGTGATTTCTGGTCAAATAGAATGGGGTTTAATTATGGTATAGATTTATTAAATTGCTTTTATAGATTTTAAGTCTGTACTTTGGCAAACAAACATAGGATGTGTAATATTGGCCTCATCAACTGCTGTTAACCCCAAAAAAAAAAAAAAAAAAAAAAAAAAAAAAAAAAAGAAGTACGAAACTGAAGAAAAGACATTATCAACTGGTTGTCTCTTTTGGCAGATTAGAAATTGTCATGCGGCCATGTTATTCAAAGAGAGATATTAGTTTCTAAATGTGAAGTTTGTGAAAGTTATTTCATTTTTCATATTTAACCAAATTATAGTTTGAGTTGCAAAGCCAAAATGGGAGAATTACAAATAATATTAACGAGAGTGTTATGACGAAATATCAAGTAAACTTTTCTTATTTTATCAGCGTCATTCGTAAAATGTGGGAGCTTAAATTTCCTGGCACTAAGGTAAATGCCTGATTAGTTTAATGAATTTGCTAAAATGTACATAGATTCGATCCATATGTTACTTGGACTTTTGAAAAATGGGTAAAGCACATTCGTGTTGAACACAAGATTTTGGAACATGGGTATGTGATATGTGTCCAATACGTGTTGTTGTACACACACTTTACAAGCATATCCAATATTTTAAGTTTGTTATATAATTTTACCTAAAAACTATTTTAATGTTCCTTCTGTCACATTATTGCTTCAAAATGAGTGACATGTCTATGCTAAACATTATATTCACACAAAACATTATTTTTAACTATAAAATATATGAATATTGGCCAGTCCCCATGTCCTTGGGTTTGGGAATTCGATAAATACAGTGGTCAGACTCATGCCCACACACCTAACATGCACGTACCTAAGTACATGTAATGTAGGATTCAATAGGCGTGGTGTTCTTTTTAATATGAATATTGGCTGGTCGCCGTGGCCTTGGGTTTGGCAATTCGATAAATGCATTGATTAGACTCATACCCACACACCTGACATGCACGTACCCAAATGCTTGTAATGTAGGATTCAATATGACTAAACTTTCCACAATATTTTCGATCTCATTGACACCATGTGATAGCAAATGTGGTTACTTAGCGGTGAGCATGATACTTCCTCTGCAACTAGAATTCTGTTCCCGGTAAAGTAATGATTGCTCTTCTCCATGGTCCAAAAACCAGTCTTTGTGATGGTTCTGAAAAAAATTTGTGACAGTAAATGTTTACAATTATCCAATCTAAGTTGTTACTTGTTTGCCTCTTCTGACTAATTTATGTTTTTTAATTGATGCATGCATTATTTTTTAGCAGTAATTGGTGCTGAATGTTAAGCTGGCTCAAGAATTCTTCCAATCAGTAGGTAGTGGTGTTGTAGAAGATGGACATAATCGAATCGATCCTCGATATTCCTGTTCAAGATCCACAAGATGAAGAGTTCTCTTCTGCTGACTTGAATTGGACGAAATTTGGAACTGCCGAACGTCATGATGATGTAGCCCTTATTCCTTATGCACGTGTTGATGATTTTATAATAGGAGAATGCTCTAATGTAGAATGTCCGACGAGATTCCATATTGAGAGGGGCAGAAAACGATCAAAAGGCACCTTGAAGGACTACAAGACTGATGAGTATTTGGAATATAGGCTGTAAGTTTGTCGGCTTGCATATTACTTCATCATATTCACCTTGCTGCTTCAGGATGACAAGGTTATTCTGTCATATCATTGAACCTGAACAATGTATTTCTGAAAAACACTATATAATTAACACAATGAAGCTATTCAGATTATGTGATCCAAGGAGTTCATGATCAAATTCTGATGAAATTCCTTGAAACTTTGTTTCACTTACATAACAACCATCATTTAGATTTGGCATTCAAACACCAAGTTTGGAACCTTTTACTGTGGAGGAATAAAAATGTGGTCTACATGCTAAACTGCCTTTTTCAGTTGACAAATCGGTCATTTGAGCTGTAAAATTCTCAATGCTTAGGTTTTCATATGTGTCAAAGTAGAGTTTGCATATTCTGTTTCAAACTAATAATTATGTTCTCTTGTGTTCGTTTTCTTTCATTTTTATCTTTGCAAAGATATTGGTGTTCATTTGGTCCAGAAAACTATGGGGAAGGTGGGGGTATTTTGCCAAGCCGAAGATATCGACTTAACACTCGAAACCGCGCTGCTAGACCTCAGTCTATGCGTGGCTGCACATGCCATTTTGTAGTGAAGCGTCTGTATGCACGTCCATCTCTTGCACTTATTGTCTACAATGATAAGCGCCATGTAAACAAGTCTGGTTTTGTTTGTCACGGGCCACTTGACAGAGATGCAATTGGCCCTGGTGCCAAGAAAATTCCATATATATGTAATGAGATTCAACAACAAACTATGTCTATGATCTATCTTGGCATTCCTGAGGAGAATGTGTTAGAGAAGCACATTGAAGGGATTCAACGCTACTGTGGTTCAAATGCAAAAGTAAATAGCCTTGCTTCCCAGTATGTGCACAAACTCGGGATGATTATTAGACGTTCTACGCATGAGTTGGATTTAGATGACCAAGCTAGCATACGAATGTGGGTAGAACGCAATAAGAAATCTATATTCTATTACCAAGATACTTCAGAGACAGATTCTTTCATTCTGGGGATTCAAACAGAGTGGCAGTTGCAACAAATGATTCGTTTTGGCCATCGCAGTCTCATGGCCATTGATTCAACATTTGGCATAAAAAGACTCAAGGTAATGAATTCATTGATGTTTGTTTGTGCATGCTTTAGAAAATCTACCAGACATTCTCACGTCTTCTTTTCTGAATGGCAGTATCCCTTATGTACACTTCTTGTGTTTGATTCAAGACAACATGCGCTCCCTGTTGCCTGGGTCATTACTCGAAGCATTGCTAAGCCAGATGTGTCTAAGTGGATGAAAGCTCTACTTGATCGTGTTCATGCTGCTGAACCTGGATGGAAGGCCAATGGGTTTTTGATTGATGATGCTGCGGCAGAGATTGATCCGATAAGGCAGGATGCTCTTCCTTTAATTTTTTCCTGTTTAAATATACATTATTTTCGGATCAGTTATATGGAGTGGACTGTCTTTCAGGGATGCATTTTCTTGTCCTGTCCTATTCTCCCTCTGGCGTGTTCGTAGATCATGGCTGAGGAATATTGTCAAGAAATGTAGTAATATTGAAGTTCAACGGGAGATTTTTAAACGACTGGGAGAAATAGTGTACAGCATTTGGGGTGGAATGGATTCTTTGGCTGCCTTGGAAGAATTAACCCAAGATTTTGTTGATCAAACTGCCTTTGTACAGTACTTCAAGGCCACTTGGGTGCCTAAGATTGGTTAGATGACTCAATCTCTCTCTCTCTCTCTCTCTCTCTCTGTGGGACTTCTTTAAAATTTGAATTTCTGAAATTAGTATTATTCATTTTTTGTTGTATAGAGATGTGGCTTACAACAATGAAAACTCTCCCACTTGCAAGCCAGGAGGCATCTGGTGCCATAGAAGCGTATCATGTGAAGCTGAAAGTCAAACTATTTGATGATTCACATCTTGGTGCACTCCAGAGAGTCGATTGGTTAGTGCACAAACTGACAACAGAGTTGCATTCAAGCTACTGGCTTGACCGATTTGCAGATGAGAGTGATTCCTTCCAAAATGTTAAGGAGGAATATATTGCTTCCACATCATGGCACCGGGCACTGCAAATTCCGGATACATCTGTTACCTTGGATGAGAGGGACCACCTCTTTGCCAAGGTTGTGAGCCAAAAAGACAGCAGCCTAACGCATCTTGTGTGGAATCCTGGATCAGAATTTGCTTTTTGTGATTGTGCATGGTCAATGCAGGGAAACTTTTGCAAGCATGTCATAAAGGTCAATATGATCTGTGAAAATCGTCAAGGGTATCAGTCTTCTATGTCTTTCTGTTCTTTTAAAGAGATTTTAATTAATCTCTGGAAAAAACCGAAGGATGATTCAGTTGCATTGGATCTGTCAATGGCATGGACACACCAGATGCTTGATCAAATTCAGACACTCGTTGAACTGAACAGTTCAAATGATATTGGCAGTGTAGTAAATAATCTGCCACTGAAATGGGTTGCTAAGAAAGGGAGAACATCTGTTGGCAAGACACCATCCACTCTTGCTCTGCCCTCCAGCTCCATGGGCAATTCTAAGAATTCTGCCGCACGAAAAAAGAATCGGAAGAGGAAGAGATTGTCTCGGTTGGGATGGTAGGTAGAGGGTTGTTCTTGCACATATTTGACCCATGCAAGCTTGATTTCATCTCAGAACTTACTTTTCAAACATGACTTTAATCTAGTGGCAGATCATTCTGATTCCAGAGCTGGACTTTGTCCTTTCTTCATAATTCATTGATAAACAGGTATAGGCAGTGCTGGCATCAAAACTGTATAGTGGACACTCTATGAGTTTATCTGCTAAGTGTAGGCTGAAAAAATGCTATTGAAGGAATTAAAGATGTGTCTACAAGTTTGTGATTCTAGCAGATTGGTGGCAAATTCAAATATGAACTTCGACAGAGAAATTAGCTATTGAGACTTGGGAGTCCATTGACATTGCGTGTCGTCTCCTTTTTTTCTCTTTCCCCCCGGTCACTTGAGTTCTTTAACCTGTAGACGTATACATTTTTGTTAGAAAGCCTGTAGAAAAAGAGATTGGAGAAAACTGCTGATGATCTATGTTATGTTTCATATATTTAAAATCTCAAAACATGTACAGACTAGCGGTAAAATTGGGTATTGGAATTATGTTCAAATATTGTGAAGCATGCAGATTGCCAGAGTTGAGCGTTTGAGTTGGACAAGTATTTGATGATTACTACGTATTTTCTTGCTTAAAAGTATCTGATTGAAATGCTGCTGAAACTGGAGATTGAATTTGTGTGTGGTAGTTTTTGGCTACATTTTTTTTATTTATAATATGGGTTAGCAGAGCCCAAAAGTACAGAAGGGACATGCTGGGAAAAGAATTACTCAAAGTAGTATATACCTGTTTGATTGCTGAGAAAGTTTTGCTAATATGTAAATGGAAATTGGGAACCTTTTTAACACAGGTTTGGGACCTGAGTTGATGGATGTTAGGTCTTGGGGGGGATGATCCGAACTCTCGACCTCATGTAACGACCCGAACTCGGGGTCAAGTGGTCAACTAAGGGCAAAGTCATCATTTCACATCATTCAATGCATTAGGAGTCACACTAGTGTCTTACTGGTCAATTATAATGACATTTGATTAATTAAAACATGATACAATACTTCCAATTCAAAATAGAAATCCTGAGGTCACAAGGGTAAGATAGTCATTTTAGATTATAGCGTCGGTCTGTGAGCCTACGATAAGTTCATTTATTATATGTTATATGCTAGTTCCATTGGTCAAGTGAAAATGAAACGGCGGACCGAATTCTGAAGTGGCCAAGGTGCACCCCCTCACAGCACCTGCGAGGGCTAGCGCAGTGTCAAACCCGAGTTCGGAACCTTACACCTCAGTTAGTTTTAACTTGGAAGTTGATAAAGAAATATTTATAAATTGTTCCTTCCTCTATGTCATTACAGTTCCTAATAATGACAATATCTCCATTCTTAATTGAGTGGTAAATTTTCATTAGGGAATCTGGCTGGGGACTTGGGAGTCACTGGCCACACAAAAATTGGGTCCTTTTGTAGTCTAGCAAGCAAAAATAACAGATATAAAAAACACATTTTAACTTCATGGTGGGCTCCAAAATATCACACACACCACACAAATTTGTAGCTATAAGACTGATGAAAGGAAAATTTGCCAATGGGAGTGAGGCAATCTCACCTTATCCACAATTTTAGTTAAACGCATCATCATCCCACCCTTCCACATCTCTCCCCATCAAACCATCCATAAACCAAAAACACCAACACAGCCTCTTCATTTTTCATTTTTCATTTTGTAAAGGGTCAAGTGAAGTCACAATTTTCTTTTTGTAGCAACTAACTGTTGGGATTTATATGCCCTGGCATAGCGAATTCCTATCTGGATTGTATTGACATATGTTCCTGACATATCTGAAATATTTATGATTTATATAATTGGTGAATTCAATGTATTATGTTTCAATTCACTATGAAATTGATAGTGTCCAGTTAATTACAAGAAATATTTATATATATGTATGTGATGACAATCAATGCATGATATATAAATAGTAATTATAAATTGTTCATAGTCGGTAATTATGGATGGACTCATAATTAATTAAGACTTGAACTGGATCCGCGTTAGGTTGAGATATATTGCGAGAGCCGTCGTATGCAATTACTCCCTATCACCGTCATGGCATTTGACTCTTAAGCATGAGAAAAGTATAGACTCTTTTATTAATTAATAATTACTTTGATTTGTTCGGCGGATTCTTCGGGATCCTTAGACCGACACTTTGGGTAGTTATGTAATTAATAGTTAGAGGGTTATATTTTCAATATTTGCATCATTGCTACTTGTATTTATTTTGTATTGATTATGGTTGATCACAAAGTAAATTCGAAGGCCTTCGTGTGTTTTTAGACAAAATGATTTATTATATATTTATTTATTTAAATTATTATTTTTGTCAAACAAATGTTTTATTGTGATCGAACCAGAAATAATCAAAGGTACCAAAATAAATATATTAATTAAGTAGTCGGATTGATGGCTATATTTATCCGATAACTAATTATGCATAGAGGGGTCAAAGTGCAATATTGACTTAGAAGTTATTTATTATTTAATTGGAGTTCAATTAATTTCTTTTAGTGGAGTAGAAATTAATTTATGAATTAATTGAATTGGGTCCATGGACCGGGCCAATTATTAATTCATTGTAGCCAATAAAATAATAGGCCCAATGGATTCTCACTCATAGCCCAACTTGATATTGGAATCATATTAGATTTGAGACATATGAATTAGAGATGGAGAAGGATTTGTTGTTTCCTTTTCTTTATTTTTATGTTGCCTATAAATATACATGGTCTATGTATATTTTAGGGGGTGATTTTTATGAGAAGGAAAAAGGAATAAATTTTCTCTCTCTAGAAAATTAGGGTTTATATTCTCATCTAATGGAGGCTCCCACAAGCCTAGTTTTTCAAGGTCATTCATGGAGGCATATGAGTGATTCCTAAAGGCAAAACAATTACCAAGAAGATGGAGATCCAAGGAGAATGCATCTAGCAAAAGGGATCTACAATAAGTGAGAACATTCACTTTAGAGGAGAGATCTGAGGTTTACTCAAATCTTGATGTAAGTATTCAATCTTTTAGTTGAATAATACATCATATTTTATTTTATTTTTTGCATAAAACTTGTCTCTATGTGATGAATCAAGATCTATGAATTTAAATCCCTCGAAAAGTTTTTAAAACTAGCACGTTTCCCAACAGTGGTATCAGAGCATGGTTTGATTCATTACTAGAGATCATGATTTTATGAAAATCATCATTCATAGATCCAAAATTATATTCATATATATTTTTATTGATGTATGTTGATGTATGATTTAATATGTTGATATATATTGATACATAATGATGTATGAATAATTGTGAATGAATGATGATGTATGGTTGGGCCATGGATGAAGCTTATAGGTTAAATTAATGTAATTTTATCTTTGGATGAATGTAATTAAGGCTTTGATTTAGCCGTTTGAAAGTTCAATGATGTAATTTAATTTTTTCCATTGTATTTCAAATTGTAAATATTTTTAAAGCCATGTAATCTTCGTCAAAGGATGCTATGAAGCTTCAAGAAGGTCCAAAAGGATTAAATTATGCTTCAGTAATTTTCTGGAATTTTTTCGAATTTTTTGGAATTTTTCTGGAATTTTTTGAGGCTTAATTTAATTTTCTGGCATTTTTTCGGATTTTTTGGAATTTTTTCGGCGTTTTTCCGGTGGCCGGAGCTTCGCCGGCGGCGAGAAGGGGCGTCGGAGGTGGCCCGGATCAGGTGTGGCGTCAAGATGGTGAGCCTGGCGCGTGTTCCACACGCGCCAGGAGAGTGCACATGCTGGCGCGTGCATTGCACGCGCCAGCCAAGGGAGCTTGAACTCCACGCGCGTGAAGGCGCGTGGAGGCGCGTCCCACGCGCCCCAGGCGCGTGGGAGCGCGTGAGTGTGCATTCCACGCGCCCCAGGCGCGTGCCGGCGCGTGGGAGCGCGTGGGAGCACGTGCAGCTTGCCCTAGGCGCGTGCTAGCGCGTGTGAGGTCCTCCGGGCTCGTTTCAAGCGGCGTTTTGCTTCTCCTGACGCGTACAAGCTTCCTATGGGTGTTTACAGACAGTTGAAGGATGCCCGTACAGCAAGAATAGTTTTTAAATGTTAAAAGCTGAATCCATTGGCCATTTAATTTGCTTTATCTGTCATTTATTGTTGTATGTGATGCATGAAATAATTAATTGCTAATTATTATTGTTCATGCATTGGATCCATGATATTTATTTAAATGGCTTGATTTATATTAATTAAATTATGAAAATTAATTGGATTAGATTACTAATTAATTTGAGGGCACTTATTGGGAAACGAAAAATTGATTTTGTAAATTATTTTTAAAGTGTGCTTCAAATTAAATATTAGTGAATCGTTTAAAGTCCAAATATTTTCTAAATTTAATTGGATTAAAATCAAGACGTTTTGCATGCATTATATCATGTAAATGAATAAAATGAAAACCCTAATTATGAATGATTAAAAATTGAGTGGGAGCGGGGATTTTTATACATTGCCCCATGGCCTTCGTTATTAAAACCATTGTAATTAGATCTTCAAAAATAAGGCCCCACGCATGATTTGAAGAGTCTTAATATTACAAGAATGGTTGTCTCATGAAAATAAAAATATTAAATGTTCATTGTAATTAGATCTTTAAAAATAAGGCCCTACGCATGATTTAAAGAGTCTAGATTATAATGACAACATATTTAATGTTTTATTTTTCATTAGAGCATTAATAATGTTATACACTCAATCTAAAATCAATAGTGTTAGCTCCCCAACGGAATGGTCTACACTAGGTGATTTTAGAAAGGCTAAACATAATCGGGAGTCATTTCATATAGATAGACAAGGCATTGTCTTAAGAGATATGGAGATGATGGGATTTGCCCGCCAATAGCAATAATGAACTTCGCCAACCGAATAAGTTATTGGTGTATTGGTTATCCGATTTTTCATGCAGTGGTTAAGGGACCCACATACTATTTTAATGGAAGTGCTCACCTAATAGTAAATGAATCTCAACAATAGTAATAATGAACTCCTCCAACAGGATAAGTTATTGACATATTGATTGGTTGATTTATTATGCTACAGAGTTGAGGGACCCGCATTAATTAAAAGGGATTGTTCACCAATAATGATAATGATCTCTTGTTCGATTGAGATTTATTATATTATGTGGTTAACAAACTCATTTTAATTTTAAATATGCATGACAGAATTAATAATTCACCTTGCATGTTGTATGAATGCATTTATATTCAGATTAATTATGTCTACTCCAGTTTATCTGCTTGCTTACATATTCTATGATATTGGACCTTATTTATAATGACTGGAAAATGAGCTTAGATATTTTATTCACAACGTAAGGGTACAAAATGTGTTTATTACTCCTATACCTATCTCTTTTACTTTGAGATACCAAATTTGACATTAATGCTTTTAATAAATTAGATAAGGCAAATGATATGACTTGGTGCAATATTCTAGAGTTTAGCTCGAATATACTCCAAAGCTAACATTTGTATTATTTTATTTTCTTCAAGTATCATATTAAATGTCAATGAGATATTTTGGTGAGATTAGATAGAGCATATGCCTAAGTACTGTGTCAAATTTAAATACCATCAAGATAACCTGATGAACTCCAGTTTGAAATCAAATTTTGGAAAATGATTGTTTATTATTTAAAATTAGCTGGAGATCAATAAGGCTGACTTGGGTGGTAAGTTTCAAGTTGACATGATTATTGCCTTGTTACCAAACTCATTCGACTCTGTTAGAGTGAACTAAATAAGGAATCAGTTTGAGTTCACACTCGCTGATATTCTTATAGAATTGGTAACAGAAGAAGGGATAATCAAGAGTATGGGCGTTCCTATCAATCTAACCTAGTCTATACCATCTTCTTCTAGGCCCAAGTGGATGGGCAAAGCAAAGAAGAAGGATGATAATAGGACTAGGCTAGCACAAAACATAGGTATCTAAAAGGTTAAAGGGAATAAGGCAGTGTATGTGGAGGGCGAATGAAACTGTTTCTTTTGCCGTTAACTAAGACACTAAAGGACAAACTGTCTAAGCAATGACGTGGCATAGGAAAATATATATTTAATCATTGAGCCATGTTATGTGGTTGTATCTATTGATTCCTGATGGATAGATTCTGGAGCCACTAAACATGTTTGCAATTTATTGTAAGGATTTCAGGAATCCAGAAGCCTTGATGATATAGGTATATATTTATCTTTTGACCTGATGCCAAGGTTGTAACTAAGTCAGTGGGAGTATTACATCTGAAATTAGAGAGTATGAGGATATTAGTATTAGAGAACTATCTTTATGCACAGAAGTGAAACGCAATCTCATTCTTATTTCACTTTTGGCTTATAAAAACTAGATCGTTATTTTGTAAAACTGGTTTTATAAAATTGAATAGATATGTGATTGCTTCTGGTGTATTGAAAGATGGTTAATATACTATAATCACAAGCTCTTAAGATTTGCAGGATGTAGAAACTAGTGTTGCATCTTCTAGATTGAATGTTAAGAGAAAATTTGTTATTCCTGACTCATTGTATTTTTGGTGTCTATTTTTGGGTTGTAATCAATCAAAATGAGATTTAAAGATTGGTTAAAGAAGGTTTATTACCTAGGGAGGCAGAGGAGCCTAAACCAAACTTGTGAATCTTGTTTTGAAGGATAGATAACTCTAAGGGCTTAATCAGCCAAATGAAATAGACATAAAGAACAATTGGAGTCGGTACACACGTACACGTGTAGTCTTATGAACATCCAATCAAGATTACTCACGTTTTGGATAAATTTACCTGTTGCGACACAAGTCTTATACTTTTGGTATATTCTGAGAGGGTCAAGACTGATGTGGAGCTCAGATTAGGTAAACTTATCAAGACACTTTCGATCTGATCGAGTATTTGAGTATTTCTTGGGATAGTGCAAAGACTATATAGTCAATGAGGGTGTTGTGTACCAGTTTTCCGCAATTGACGCTAAATTAATTTAGGTGTCAAATAGGAATAACAGAATTCCACTTAACATGGTTAGATCTATGATCAGTAATGCCACATTATCTCTTTCATTTAAGAGTTTAGCGTTAATGACATCGATGCGCATTATGAACTGCATTCCATCTTAGTCTGTCTCAAGGATACCGTTGAGCTGTGTTTTTGACTAAATATTAGTTTGAATCATATGCACATATGGGGTAGTCTTGCACATGTGCGCTTGATATGGACAAGTAAGTTGGAAGCAGATCATAGGCATGCTAGATTTGATAGCTACTCTAAATGTCACTAGGATGGATTATTTTATGATCTCAAAGATAAAAGTTGATTGTTTACACTCACTGTTTATCTATAGGAGAATCATATTATGAATCACATACCTAGTAGCATAATGTTAGAGAATTTGGTATGAGTACCAGGTATACCACATGTGAACACACTTATTATAGAGATTGAGAATAATATATGAATTCCCTATTGATGCGTTAGCATCATCTACTACACAGATTCTTGCATCGGTACATTGATGTAGTGGGAGGATTATCATCCAATTCGACAGAATCATGTTTTTAGGCGAGACCATTATGGACATCCCTGTTAAACATGAGTTGGACCCAGTAAGCTACACGGAAGCGTGAACTGATGTGGATACAGATCGTTTTGGTGAGTTACTATGAAATCAGAGTTGGAATCTATGTATTCTAATAAATTCTGGGATCTTGTAGAACTTTCTAGTAGGGTGATTCCTATGGAAGGCAAGTTAATCTACAAAAAGATACCAGAAGATTTCTTAGTGAATAAATCATGAGTATACAAGGGAATGTTATTATTTTTCTTAATTCTATATATTGATGACATCCTACTCATTTATAATGACGTGGAAGTTTTGTCATCAATTATAAGGTAGTTGTTCAATTACTTTTAAATGAAGGATTTTCAAGATGTAAGCTATATTCCTAGGATCAAGCTTTTGCAAGATCAGGTTAAAAGGAAAATAGGCTTATCTTAATAATCCTACATTGATAAAGTTTTGACCAGGTTTGGTATGCATAACTTAAAGAATGAGTTCTTGCTTTATTGATATGGATCGCTCTCTCTAGTAAGTAGTTTTTCAAGACTAGCAGAGGAGATTGAGCAAATGAGACTGGAACAATATGTTTCGGCATATGAGAGTCTCATATATGCCATGGTCTATACCAAACAGGACATCCGCTACATGGTAGGGATAGTCAGTAGAGATCAGTCCAATACTGGACTTGACAACTGGTCTATTGTGAAAAATATCATTAAGTACCTAAGGAGAATCAATGATATCATACCCATTTATGGATGTGATGATATGGTCCTAGTCAGGTATGCTAGTTCTGATTTTCAATCAGAAGTAGATACTATGAGGTTCATGACTTAGTGTATGTTCACTTAATGGAAGGGAAATCAGTTGGTAGATTGTCAAACAGATTTCAACTGTTGACTCAAACCTGCAGGTGGAACATATTGCAGCCTTAAAGGTGGCAATATAAGCCTATTGGTTTGATCTCACTGATTTAGAGGTTGTGGAGCATACTAGCCTGCCTATCGAGCTATATTGTGACAATAGTGCAGAAGTAGTCCAAACCAATGACACAAGGTTCCATAGAGGAACAAGATACACTGAGAGGAAGTATCATGTTCGACATGATATTGTCCGGCAAGAAAATGCACTTGTAGTTAAAACATTGCATTGGAACACAACTTTGTTGATCCATTATCAAAGGTGTGATTGATCAATAATTTTGATCATCATCTGGATAACATTGGAGTTAGGTGCAATTTGAATTGGCTATGAGGGCAAGTGGGAGCTGTTGGGATTTATATGCCCTGGCATAGCGAATTCCTATCTGGATTGTATTGACATATGTTCCTGACATATCTGAAATATTTATGATTTATATAATTGGTGAATTCAATGTATTATGTTTCAATTCACTATGAAATTGATAGTGTCCAGTTAATTACAAGAAATATTTATATATATGTATGTGATGACAATCAATGCATGATATATAAATAGTAATTATAAATTGTTCATAGTCGGTAATTATGGATGGACTCATAATTAATTAAGACTTGAACTGGATCCGCGTTAGGTTGAGATATATTGCGAGAGCCGTCGTATGCAATTACTCCCTATCACCGTCATGGCATTTGACTCTTAAGCATGAGAAAAGTATAGACTCTTTTATTAATTAATAATTACTTTGATTTGTTCGGCGGATTCTTCGGGATCCTTAGACCGACACTTTGGGTAGTTATGTAATTAATAGTTAGAGGGTTATATTTTCAATATTTGCATCATTGCTACTTGTATTTATTTTGTATTGATTATGGTTGATCACAAAGTAAATTCGAAGGCCTTCGTGTGTTTTTAGACAAAATGATTTATTATATATTTATTTATTTAAATTATTATTTTTGTCAAACAAATGTTTTATTGTGATCGAACCAGAAATAATCAAAGGTACCAAAATAAATATATTAATTAAGTAGTCGGATTGATGGCTATATTTATCCGATAACTAATTATGCATAGAGGGGTCAAAGTGCAATATTGACTTAGAGGTTATTTATTATTTAATTGGAGTTCAATTAATTTCTTTTAGTGGAGTAGAAATTAATTTATGAATTAATTGAATTGGGTCCATGGACCGGGCCAATTATTAATTCATTGTAACCAATAAAATAATAGGCCCAATGGATTCTCACTCATAGCCCAACTTGATATTGGAATCATATTAGATTTGAGACATATGAATTAGAGATGGAGAAGGATTTGTTGTTTCCTTTTCTTTATTTTTATGTTGCCTATAAATATACATGGTCTATGTATATTTTAGGGGGTGATTTTTATGAGAAGGAAAAAGGAATAAATTTTCTCTCTCTAGAAAATTAGGGTTTATATTCTCATCTAATGGAGGCTCCCACAAGCCTAGTTTTCCAAGGTCATTCATGGAGGCATATGAGTGATTCCTAAAGGCAAAACAATTACCAAGAAGATGGAGATCCAAGGAGAATGCATCTAGCAAAAGGGATCTACAATAAGTGAGAACATTCACTTTAGAGGAGAGATCTGAGGTTTACTCAAACCTTGATGTAAGTATTCAATCTTTTAGTTGAATAATACATCATATTTTATTTTATTTTTTGCATAAAACTTGTCTCTATGTGATGAATCAAGATCTATGAATTTAAATCCCTCGAAAAGTTTTTAAAACTAGCACGTTTCCCAACACTAACAATGGCAACCATGAACTCCAGTGTGCTGGCATGCAACTATGCCATCTCTTCTGGTGTTGGATCACCAGAGCTCAACTCAAAGATTGTTTCTTCACAATCACTTGTATCCTCAGTTAAATTACCTGTGATCAACATGCCAGAGTTTCTGATTCGAAAGAGTCAATCTGCAGCTGCACTTTTCACCACTGCTGCCTCCACCTCCTCTGCCAATGCAGGCGTCATCGAAGATTATCTCGAAAAGAGCAAAGCTAACAAGTGAATCTTCATCACTCAATATAATTGTTTCTACTTTTGATGACTTACAAATATGTGTGTTGTAATAGGAATTGAATGAGGTTGGCCACAAGTGGTGCAAACTTTGCACGGGCATATACAGTTCAATTCGGCACCTGCAAGTTCCCGTAGAACTTCACCGGCTGCCAAGCAGAAGGTTTGATTATCTCGAAAAGAGCAAAGCTAACAAGTGAATCTTCATCACTCAATATAATTGTTTCTACTTTTGATGACTTACAAATATGTGTGTTGTAATAGGAATTGAATGAGGTTGGCCACAAGTGGTGCAAACTTTGCACGGGCATATACAGTTCAATTCGGCACCTGCAAGTTCCCGTAGAACTTCACCGGCTGCCAAGCAGAAGGTTTGATTTATAGTACATAAACTGACTCTGATATTTGGATTTGGTAGTTTTAAGAATGATCTTTGTGCAGCCATTTTATTTATTTATTTGGTGGTCTAATGCAGAAAGTGCCATTTTTATCCGAGGATTTGGCTTTGGAGTGCGAAGGAAAGGACAAGTGTGGTTCCAATGTGTTCTGGAAATGGTGAAGTGCGAAAGCTGCTTGTGTGTGTCAATGTGTCAATCATATTCTCCCCATCATGTATTTAATTTCCATTAAGACTTGTACTCTATTTGTTCTCTCATCTTTTCTCTGTTTCTAAGTTTTTTTGCTTGATCCATCCTTGTTCTACACCTAGTAATTCTTGGGAAATTATGGACAGAATGTGCCCAGAATTTTGATCTCACATAAAAATGATCACATCTGATATGTTACTTAGGTTACACTAACACACAAACTGTATAAGTTTTAGGTCTTATAGTCACCGATAAGGAGTAAAAAATAGAGAAAAAAAAGAAGAAGATATATAGCCCTAGAGAGAACAGTAATGCTAATACCAATTCATCCTGTTATACTGAGTAGTGATTTCAGCCGCAAACTCCAATATACTTGATACTTAATGACAATATATAGTGTACAACTCATGGTATCATCTCTTTCTTGCCTCAAACTTGAAAGATAGTTCAGCTGACAATATCAACTTTTCATCAATGAAATGATATTAAAATTTTCCGCATATGTTACACTTCTCTTTTCACAAAAATTGTTGGTTAGGGAACTAGGGTTAAACATACTCCATTTCTATATCCTGAGATTGACTGTATGGTGAAAAAAAAAAAAGAGGAACAAAATTTGTCAACTTACAAAACAGAAATTGTTCAATAAGAAAACTGTGAGCAGAAACTATTTTCCCGGTGATCATAAAAAATATCCCTCTAGACTAGCCAGTCCAATTGCACTTGAAAGATTGGTCTCCACAGGAGGTTTAGGCTGTTGTAAGGCCAAAAATGCATTGATACTGCAATCTCATCGACAACTTTTACCCACCCATACCACGATTACCAATTCATATGAGTTGCAAAAACATGAATGTGGCTCACGAGCATGTCTAATATGTTCGAAGCAAACTTTGGGTTTTCAATTGTCAACTGCAATTCAAGTGAATCTAGTCCAATTTATCCATCTGCATGTATCTAATCCGATCTGTCTGTCTATCTGTATGAATCTGTTCGCGGAACCTCAAGAGTATGAACACAAAGATGAGGAGCCATTATACTGCAACTGAGGACATGGAGTCGGAGTTACTCCATCAGTAAAACCAGAAACATATTTACAATTCCACCTTGCAGATGGTGCCAGGCCTAGAACACTAACATTTTTCATGCATACCATTTCAAAAGGTGCATCTTCAATACCCTCTAATACTGGGGCTCTTGTGGAATTCAAACTCACCACATCACTTATAAAAATACCGCGTATTTTTGGGAGAGCTTTGGAATCCCATCCATCATCAGGGTGGTCATCGGCACCCCTACTGAATCTTATGGGTATCTTAACTCTCTCCAGTATAATGTTGCGTATGGTGATATTTGCTATATATCCTCCCCTCCCCTTATCTGTCTTTATTCGCACCCCAGCTGCGGAGTCTCTAACATGCAGATCCTCCACGGTGACATTTGAAATCCCACCAGACATCTCGCTGCCAATTCCCACCCCAGAACACGTTGGAGTTGTGCCCGAGACTCTCCTTATAAAGATGTTTGAGCTTGGACGGGCCATGGTGATACCATATTGATCCCAACCACTCTTCACCGCTACAAGATCGTCCCCACTTTCAATGTAGCAGTCTTCAATACACACATGGGTGCTTGAATCTGTGAGTAAAATTATCAGGAGATTAAAATCATTACTCTTTTAAGCTTTGGATATATTTTATCAAATATTCAGAAAATAAAACATGATAAGATAGCAACATAAAAAGAATCAAACGATAAAGAGAATTTAGTGGCCTACCTGGGTCTATCCCATCGGTATTTGGAGCATTGAGAGGAGCCAAGATTTTCACATCTTTGATCACAATATTTCTGAAACAAATGGAGAGTTACCTGTTAGGTTTCCACCAGAAAGCTTGAGGCACATGAAATTATCATGAAGATAAAGGGAGAAATCTTGATTGCTGGTCCATTGTTACGAGTGATATTTTATGCTTCAAATGTTTAAGATCTGTATGAAATTAGGACTTTGGAAGCGTTATAACTTCATAGTTGACTTGTCCCCCTCGAGATGTTGTTTTAACACTTCTCGGCTCAATTTAAGGTAGTGTAGAAGAATCTGTTTTATCTGCTATTCTTCACTGATTTTCTTTTCATAATGGTAATGCGCTCGGGCAGTTGCAAAAAGTACCCAAGGTGCTAAAATTCTGGACATAATAAAAAGATATACAAAGTGCTACTGTACTACTCATGTTTAAATTTTGAAGTCAGTAGTAGTATAAAAAGAAATGATATTTACTTCATTTTCTAATACCAAAATCAGTTGTTATAATATCCAAGATGATTACGCTTTATGACATTGAAAATAATAATTCAATACTGGCTAGCAGCAATTGAGGATTCTAGTATATTCAAACCTGCAATAAACAGGATGGATGGTCCAGAAAGGAGAATTAAGGAAGGTGAGGTTGGAGATGAGTATGTTATGCGAGGACATCATCTCAAGGAGGTGGCCTCTGGTGTGCTGCAATGTTCTGTTCCACCATAGATCCCACCACATCTTTCCCTGGCCATCAATGGTCCCATTCTGTCCTGAAATTAATAAAAAAATGAACTGATCACAGACCACTCAACAATTTATTCAACTTCAAATATTTGGGAGGCTATAATAGATGAGAATTCGGCATCCTAGCTTAATCCAAATTCGTCTGAAAGACTAACAAAAAGTGATAAAGAGTATACATTCTAGTGGTACATGGTAATTTCGTGCCCCCTACTTGATTTGTAAGACCATGGCATGTTTTCGATGCATTCCTAAAGTACAAAACCTAAGAGGCACAATGCATGAGTCGCAATACAAAACATTAGTTCCAAGTAACTCTCCTTTTTTGAGCTGTGCATTACCCGAAGTCACAACTCTAATTAGATCTTCCTAGAACAGATTAATGTGATCCCTTAAACACTAAACTACGAATGTGAACAATATACAAAGGAACATGAACGTGAAAGTAGTGCCAGAACTGGGAATCCACAAGACTGGTAAAGAGAGTGTTTTTGAAAGCAATAGTTAATGAAGAATTGAATAACTGTATGGGTGAGCATATGAATGAACCCTCTAGGGAACCTGACTGAAAAGGAAAACATAATTTTATCCTTATTTGCAGCCATCATTTGTGATGGTTCAACAAGATTTTCTAAAAATAATAATCATAACTAAAGGAAATACTATGCTCCCTTTAGGTGGAAGAAAAAGATGACCGCAAACTTTGAAATTAAATTCTTGATACTCTAAGGATCAAGATGGTTAAAGGCTGCTTGCTTCTACATGGAACCAGTTCAATGATGGGTATTAAAGGCAAAACATAAGAATTCAAATAGGCATTTTTAGCTTCATCAATGTTGACAGAGCAAACTAGATTAATCAGCCTAACTTTGTATGCAAGATTCTTCATTTATATACATATGATTATCCATCCCCTCACCACTTCACAATAAATAAACAAACAAATATACATTAAGTGCTTTTTAATATAACCTTACACGGAATCATCAGTGTACTACATGTCTCATAAAGGAACACTTAAGAGCACTTAGAGCAGTGCTAAAAAACATTTATTCCACTCGACATTAGGTCTTGAGATAGTCAAAGGAAATTAGATGATTATTAAAAAACTCAAAATGGGATGCAATTTCATCTTTCATTGCATGACCAAGTATTAATACCTGTAATGACAACATTAGCGAGACCATCTCCATGGATGAGGCTTATATGCCTCCCCCCCAACCTTTCTCTCCCTCTTCCATAAGAAGGTAACGGCTCTATAATTGGCCATTCTTCTGGGTCCTATAATTTGAAGTAAACAAAACAAAATTTTTAAAATTAGAATTTTGGGTTAAAAGTATATGGATTTAGTTCAATAAATCACTGAAAATGAGTAGTTGTGAAACAGAGTCACCCATCACTAAGATAAAAATTGAAATGGGTTCATTCAGTTTAGTCCCCAAAATGTCTTTTCCCGTAAAACAAATTCACACACACTCTCTCTCTCTCTCTCTTCTTCATTTACTTCCAAGTTTGAATATGAATTGACCTTTTCCAATGCACAGTCCAACAGAAAGGCTAATTCCAAATAATCCAATTAGAGTTTGTAAGTAAATGGTCTTTTCTTTCTAGAACAACTTTTGTTGCTGATATACAATTCAAATAAATGAAATGTCTCAAATTTCTCCCAACTAGTTTTGCTGATAACATGCTTTTTTGACTTTTAATTAGCACACAGTTACTCAAGTGAGAATATGTATGTGTGTGTGAGAGAGAGAGCTCAAATGCTACCAAACCATTTGTCTTCTATAGACTATTAAAACCCATTTACCAATCAAATTGTTAATACAAATTCAACCCAATAAATAGTTGAATTTTTCAAAAATGTTAGTTAAAACATATATTCTAAATGAATTAAGCCTATGGAGTCAAAAACTATACACCTACAGTACATAATACATACACACATATATTATATATTATATATTATATATATATGAGATTACCTGAGAACCCAATATAACAGCACCTTCTTCAAGAAAGAGCGTAAAATTACTGGTGAGATTGAAGCTGCCGGTGACCCACCTCCCCCTCGGAACATTGAGTTGGGCCCCACCTCTCTCCACGAACTTCTCCAAGTGCCGTATCGCCCGCTGAAACGCCGCCGTATTCGCAGTGTTCCCATCACCGACGCCCCCAAAATCCCTTATCGACATCACCACCTTCCTCGGCGGCGCATGACGGAAAAACCCGGCACAGCTCGGCCGCCCGACCCTATCGGAAAGCCCGGGAATATCCTGAACCAACTCGGGCCGTATCGGAAATACCCTTTTTGTGGTGATTTGAAGGCAAGAAACGGCTATAACCGTGACTATCAATAACAAGAACGCCCATGTTGGCCTGGTATACCCACCCATCATCGCACCAAACATTTGTTTTTCACCATCCATCATATTACGTTCATACATGAAATTTTTGTATACACAAATATATATACATATATATATATATATGCGTTTATATGATGTACATGTATATGTATATGAGGAAGAACTGGAGAGGTGTTGTTTATAAGATGGAAGAACAGTGCGTATTACGCATAGTTTTGGTGGGTTCTAGGAATGATAGTTTTCTTGGCTGGAGGCCATGAAAATTGTAAT